CTAAATTACACTTTTACCATGCTGACGTGTCGCGTCCCGTGTCATGCCACGTGTCATTGTGGGTCCCACATAAACGTCCGTTAGCCGGGCTACTAGATACTCTATTTTCAAAAGTTCGTTGATTTATTTTACACTATTTGATAGTTTAGGATTATCAAATACTTCTTGAAAAATAGTTTGTGCTAAATTTGCACCTTTACCTAATAATATATATGCATGTACGCATGCATGTAAGAAGAGGCTGCATCTGATAATAAAAGAAAAGAGGAAACAAAGCTTGAGGGGAGTATTTCAATAGAGAGTTGTTTCCCTTTTTGTTTTCACTTTGCTCTTCGGAAGAATGCAAAACTTAACGGGAAATTTTCTATCGTATCTTTTGCAATTTTATCAAAATTTGGAACATTTTATGTAGCGAGAACTTTGAATTCAATCTTCAACAAATGGCGTATATCGTCATTAGCAAATGTGTGGAATATAAGCGGGGAGCTATGCAGCGGACAAGCCATTGACAACACCACCGCGGTTGATAACTTAAATCCATTCATCAAATGCGACTGTTCCACCGGCTCTACTTGCCACATTACTGGACTGTGTAGTCTCTATCTTCTGTTAGCTTCTTTTGTTGACAGTGTTTTGTTTACATTTTTTCCTTATCTCCAAACTATTCCCGCTTGTTTCTGGCATTTTTATGGCAGGAGGGTTTTGCATTGGATGTTATTGGGGATATCCCAAAAGAGCTATGGACTCTGACTCACCTTACCAATTTGTAAGCTTCTTGCCTCACCAGTTTTCCAGGCTTGGTTTCACTCAAATTCTTGCTAACATTCCTGGAAAGGGTTTTTATTTTTATGTTTTTAATTAATAGATTCTTTTTCTTGTTAATCCCCCTGTCTCTCTTAGCATGCTAAAGTTTCCTCAAATTGCATTCAGGAACCTTGGCCAGAATTACTTGACGGGTTCTCTATCTCCAGCCATTGGAAATCTAACTCGCATGCAGTACTTGTAAGGCCAATTAATTAGAAGTTATGTACTTCTTGTATCTAAGGGTCCTCCAATTTCTGGCGGGAAAGATGGTCAATTTGAGCAAATTTATGCTGTTCAGTTTTTTTTTGGGGGCATAGTTTATTAAATGTTAATAATAGTTTCGTTTAATTTAAATGAAAGAAGAAAAAAAAATTCAAACTTTCAAACCATACAGATTGATACAATGGTAGTGACTCATGTTTCTGTCTCAAATAGGAGAGAATTGGACTTGCTTGTTGTACTTTATGATACATACTCAGGGAACTCGCAGTTAATGTAAATTTATCCATGTTAGGAACCTTGGCATCAATTCTTTATCAGGGAAGCTTCCGAAGGAATTGGGAAATCTTACCGACTTAATATCATTGTACGTTATCCGCTTTTCCTTGCGGCAATTTCCTTTTCCGCCTCTTGTATTTTTTAAACTATTTTTGCTAGTGATTAAATGACAGCTTGGTGTTTTTTTCCCTTTCCATAGATTCTGATTCTATCATATTATTCTGATGTAATGTTGTTTTCTTGTCCTTTTCCTTTCAAACGGGTCTTGTGAACATCTGGAATTGATAAAGAAGGACATACCACGCAGCTTAATTTGAAGACCATTCTGTTTTATAAAAATCATGATTTTTGTGAGAAGTATATCCGGATGATACTGTTCAAGATCCAATTAATTATTGTGAATTATGCAGGGCTCTTGGATCAAACAACTTCTCAGGTTCTATCCCATCCGAACTAGGGAATCTGGTGAAACTTCAACAACTGTAAGTTCCACAGCAGTCTGTGCATCTGTACTTTTTTTATGACCGAATTACAAGTCCCTCATTGGGCTTATAAGAATAGGTTTTTTCATCTCCATAAGTTTTAAGCCATGGGCTTTGTTTAATTTATGTTTTATAATCCTTGAGTTGGTTCTGGATCATGTCAGCTGTTATATCCTTTCACGTAAAAATGCATCATCTTACAAATTTATCATCAAAAGTTGTTATAACTTTCTTTATCTTAAAAAAGATGATATAAATTCCAACGAACATTTATCTGCAGCCACTTAGATAGTTCGGGGCTTAGTGGTCAGATTCCTCCCACTCTTGCTAATCTTATAAACCTGAAAACATTGTAAGATATCACTATCTCCCTCCCGTTTTTTGGTCTCTCGTATCATCTTGATGACAATAACTAAAAAGTTTACTTGTTTGTCCAGGTGGGCTTCAGACATGGAACTCACAGGCAGGATACCTGACTTCATAGGAAGTTGGTCTAAGCTGATAGACTTGTAAGATTTACATTATCAGTAACCTTTTTTTTTTGTTTTGTTTTGTTTTTTTAAAAAAGAAGTTGAACCTTTTTTCAATTATGAAGTGGCATTTTCATTGAACATTGGGTTTGTCTTGCTAATCTGCAAGTTTACTAGTTTAATCAGAAATTTATTCTGTCACATCTTTAGCAAATAATTTGGGGCTTTCCCTAATGGATTGACAAAGGGGTTGAAAGCTTCTTTGAGCTAACGAGTTTTTGGCATTAAAATATAGCTTTTGGATGACTATTTATATTATTGATTTGTTTTCCTTTTCATCATGGAATTCCATTTCTATGAAAAGAGTAGTTAATTTTTTCTATATTATAAATAAATTATATACAGAAAACTCTTTAGGATGTGAAGTATGAATACTTGTTTTGTGTAATCACTAAACAGAATTGCTGTATGTTTTGGTAGGAGGTTTCTGGGTAATTCTTTTGAAGGACCAATACCACCATCATTTAGCAATCTGACTTCTCTTACAGAGTTGTGAGTGCCATAACTATTTGCTTCCATTCATTCTGTGCATTTATTGGAGCTAATTATATGATATTCAAATGTAGGAGAATAAGTGAAATATCTAATGGGAGCTCCTCACTGGCATTTATAAGAAATATGAAGTCTTTGAATACCTTGTAAGTTTTATAGACATGGCCTGTCTAATAATTCGGAGTCTTCCAGCTAAATAGAGATAATCCCCCGCTTCTTTCCTTTTGAATGTAGCATAACAATCTCGTTACAAATCTTGCAGGCTATTGAGGAATAACAATATTTCTGATTCAATTCCATCCAATATTGGTGAATTTCAAAATTTGACCCAGCTGTGAGTATTACCTGTTTATGTAGCTCTTCAGATACACATAAACTATCCATAAAATTAAATTTGCATTGGAGATACAGGATAGTTACTACTAGCTGTTTGCGCTGCTGTCCCTGCAATCAGATGATTAAATTTGCCAATTTCAATCAAGTCTGCCTATCATTTTCATTATTTCCTTTCTTAGTTTCCTTAATCTATTTGTGTCTCTTAATTCTGTTGTTTCTTGAAATTCTAGTTGGTTGGCCTGTACTATGTAGCCATCGTCCCTATAAATGGCCTATATCATTTTTTTTTAATTATGTAATGATAATTGCAGAAGCATAGCTGCCATTTTTCTTCAATTTGTTTGCCAGGAAAACAATATAATCAGAGGATATCTCCAATCTGAATATATCAATATAAGGACAAGCCTTACTTTTTTATACTAATTCTATCAAAATGAAATGTTCATAAAGCTGAGTGATTTAGGATTGGAACTCGATGTCTGTGCTACTAGCTCAGGGAACTCGTTAATTCACCACACCAGGGTTCCTCACTAATTGTCCAATTTCCGTTTTTCCTTCTATTCTCTCCAATATGACCAACTTTGTATGGTGGAATCATTATAATTGCTATTACCATTTACTACTGCTGCTTTGCTGCTACTATTATTGATCAATGGTCTTGAGTTGTATTTGTCTTTCAAACCATATCATACATGTTACATGTATGCTGGTTCTTCAGGGATTTGAGCTTCAACAATCACGGGACAGATTCAGAGATCACTTTTCAATCTGAGTTCACTAGCATACTTGTAAAATATATGCCATGCCTGAGTAATTAAATTATGGATTTCCTGACATGCTTCCATGATTGGATTAAAGCATGATTTGCTTTCTCCAATTTCAGATCTCTTGGAAATAACAACCTCAGTGGTACTATCCCTGCCCAGATAAGCTCATCAA